AACAAATAGATCCACTATTTACAACAGTCGAAGTGTATGTATCATCCCAAGAATTTGAATAGTTTTCAATACGTCCTTTGGTGTCATGCCAATCAGCAAGTTGACGATAAATGATACGCAGTTCGAAGAGCTCATTTCGAAGTTGGTTGATTAATTTTCTCAGTACTAAAATAAGTTTTGAAGATGCAAGGTTTCGAAACTCTTCGGTAGAGTTCAACGATTACTGAAGAACATATGATTTCAAACATATATGAATCAAAAGAGTTTTTGGAGACAGTTTGGGTTTCTATCTCAATCTCACTCTATTTATGATGGAATACTTCGCACTGTCTTCACAAAACTTCAATGAGTCCTTTCATTACCAGTTCAAAAATTTTTCAAGATGACAGACAGAAATGTTCTATTGAAGCATACTGATAAGTTGATGCTAGTCGCACTATATATTTAACTCATCAGCATAAAATATAACTACAGGGTATCTGAAAAGTAACTTCCTGCTTTAGATTCTTTATTACTCTCAGACGACAAAAGATATTATAACGATTCTTTAACTGTTTTGAAGCATGTGTCATGCCATTTTGTTGTAGATGAAGCAAGCTGATTGATCGTTTGACTGTCTAAGATTTAAAAGAATTAACAGAATGGATCTGTACTGTTCGAAACAACGCTCTACAAGAAATTTTGAAGAAGTCAACGAACAACGAGCAAGTTCGATTATAAAAGTGTAGGACAACGGAGGGACCTGTGTAGAAATTTGAGACATGATATGTTATAGTATTATGTACACTTCGGAACAGTAAAAAAGTTGTTATAGTATATTTTCTCGTATAAAAATAATAAACTACTCAAAATAATGAGTTATTTTAAGACATATCCTAGATAAAATTCGTGCTTGGTCTTAAAGAGTCAAAGGATAAATCGGCTTGTTTTATTTACAATAAAATTCATTGACATATGCTTAAAAAAGTGAAAAAAATCGTTATGATATCTTCTGTTGCTTGAGAGTAATAAAAAAATTCAAAATAGGGAGTTACTTTTCAGACACCCTGTTTAAATCATGCTATCATGGTTCTTGTTTTTGCCAATATATACAATCTGTCACGAATCAATGAATAAGTAGTTTTAAACTCTGACGTGTACAAGATGCTATGTAAGCTTGTATAGCTCTTTTATAAGAGTAGTCCCATATTAGCCTCTGCTGCCTGCATGCCACATGCCATCATGCTTGTACTTGCGCAGTCTTTTCTTCGACTATCTAATGTGGTTCTCATTTCCCCAGTCGTCTGTGTTTTTCTTTCTTTTCTTTCACTTCCGAAAACGATGCATGCACGCTGATTATGGTCGGTGGATGATGTTTGTTTTTTCCCGAGCAAGACAACATAGAGGAGAGGTCATCTAACACTAGAATCGTGACATTTCTTGCTCACATCTTTCTACACTGAAATTTTCAGGTATAATTGCGGCATAAAGTCAAATCGCTGCTGCTTTCATTTAATACTTTCAAATTCTATCCGAAACTACATCAGATGATAAGTACACATAGACTAAAGTCAAATATGTACGTACCCATTATATTTTCTTGCTGATTCATGTAAAGATAATACATAGATAGCTCTCGTTCCTTTTCGATGCGTAATGTATTGATTGTTTTAAGCAAATAAGGGATGTCATGTTCTTGTAAGTCGATATCGTGTTCTTTTGTGTAAACTTGCGACTTGGCAGTCATGATTTGTTCCAGTAGGTTGTTCCTTAATTTTTCAATCATTGAATTACTTTTGTCGATATGATCAACAAAGAGAACTATTCTTGGTGTACATTTAATCAAATCAATCAGAAGCTGACGAGTTTCATCGTTGTATTTACTAGGCCGATCAGGAGGTAAACCATTCATGACAATAAGAAGGGAACTAGGTTCAAACGAGTACGCAGCTTTGATAGCATTGAATGCAACTACATCTTCGTCACGAATGCGACCATTCTGATGACCGAAGACATACAGAACAAGTGAATTAGGTTGTTGGTCGAATGCTCGGTAGATTTCCCGTTTGTTACACTCAATACGTTCCTGATTTGCTTCGATCAACCCAGGAATATTGAACACAATAAATTTTGAACCATTCAGCTCCAACATTGCTGATTCAGTTTGATGAGTAACAGAACGAGCTGCGAACTCGTTTTTGAATACTTCTCTGTTCAATAGAATATTCGCAAGAAAACTCTTGCCTACACCGCTGTTGCCAAGTATGATAAGGCCAGTTGAATCTTGATACTGATTATGGTTCGTTTTGAATTGATATGCTTGATCATTTCTTCTCATTATTTCTGAAAACGTTCTCATGAAAGATATGTGAGATTATATTATTGAGCAAAGAATGAGTGTATGAATAATTTACCCCTATTGTCAAAGATATTTTTGTTAGGGTCTATGTTCGATTGATTTTGCTTATTTTCGTCAGTTATTTGAGACTTGAAAACATGAAAAATAGCTGCCTGCAACATATGAAATGAGTAGCATATAATTGAACGAAGATGATCAATTTATTACGTCGATATCCCAATCGCTCTGGGAAAGTATGGCAATGCACTCATCAATGTTAGATATGGCTGTATACTCCTAAGACATAAATTTTATATGATTTCTGTATAGGAAGAAAATGTCAGTTTACAAAACATACTTGAAAGCTGGCTAGAATCTCTTCACGCTGCATATTGAGGTCTAGATTGTTAGTAGAAGTCTATCTAGAAAGTCAGTCAGATAAGCCTGATGTTCTTTTCGGAACAACATGTAATGATCAAAGTGAACATTTAGTTCTTTGATGTTTCATCATTCGGTACGGAGTTCTGTCAGAGGAATTCGTTTTCAAACCTATCAGCTTTGGATGGCTAAGATTTTTCAGTACCATCCACAGTTACTCTAGAGGAAATTCTTTGATATTTTTGGGTCAGATCCTTAACGCATGCAATAAGAATTCATTAAGGATTTCTTCTTTCCTCATGAGGAAATGACTTAATCCTAAATAAAGCGTTTAGCCATGGAATCTCAAAGTTCTGACAGGATTGAAACAAGATTCTATCAATATTTTCAAGGATTTATCAATCATTTAAAAATCAGGAATTTGTTCAAAAATCCGTTAATTCCTGTAAGAAACGTGTAGCCAAGCAATGTTAAAAGTTTTTGACAGTATCAGTGTAGATGAGGAGCGTGGATGTGTTTCTCGATTTAAGTGTAAGCGTTTATTCATCTTACCTTAGCTGATACCCATACCAACATTGACATGTTGTATTGTTGTTACCCAAACAGACAAAAATTTCAAAAAACGCGTTTAAACGCACAGTCGGGAACCGCGACTGTGATCCATTCACGCTCATTAAAAAAACGCAAGAAACGACATTTTTTGTGCTAAATAGTCAATTTTCAAGCGTGAAAACGGCAAAAATATAAAAAACTGAGCGTTTAAACACGTCATTTTTTAAATCTAGAAAAAGAGAACGTTTTAACACTAGAAATTTAAGTTTTCCACCGTTTTCACGCTTGAAAAGTGACTATTTTATTCAAAAAACGTCGTTTCTTGCGTTTTTTTAATGAGCGTGAATGGATCACAGTCGCGGTTCCCGATTGTGCGTTTAAACGCGTTTTTCGAAAGTTTTGTCTGCCTGGGTAAGGCTTTCCTTTAATTTAGCTACGATTCTTGACGGGATCCTGGTGTGAGAGTTCAAAATACATTCTTACTAGAACTTGATAATATCTTGGTAGAATAATGTCTGCTATTCCTGTGAAGATTCTAAGTAGGATCGAGGCTGAACTCTGATATAATACTACATTCGTTGCTTAGAAAAAAATTAAACAGGAGTTTGAACAAATCCTGAAAATGATCCTGTTTAAAGGTGAGAAATCCTGCAAACAGAAGTTACTAGGATTTGACATAGGATCTTGAATGAAAATTGACAAGATCCATGACATTCAGAATCATGGCAGATCCTTCTAGGATTTCTCAAGGAACGAATAGAATTCCATCTAGAGCAGTTTCTTATGACATTCAAACAATCGACCTTTCTATTACATATTTGCGACAAGGTGACACTCATATGCGACTCAATTTTGAAAAAAATGACGAATGGATGCCTTTAACCCCAAAAATGCTCGCCTGAAATCCGCCTGGGCCCCAACCCATTTCATTTTAGTGTTATACGCATACAGCGTCAGATCAAAGCACACCTCTCTAAATATGCTCTAATGAAGATTGGTACAGCATATTGCTAACGCCAGTCGTTCGTCATCACTAGTTGTTTATATGATAAATTATCTCGACGTACATATAAATGCTTCTCACCCATCTGGGAACTACGCGCATTCCAGTGAAATGCTTGTTGATGTTTTGTAATTGTAGTCTTAGATAGGATCTTGTTCTTTCATCTGTACTTTAGGAAAGACTAGTAGACTACGTCAGTAACTATCATTCAGCATACCAATACTGTAAAGAAAGAGCACTATTTCAGGAGCGATACGTTTCTAGCTCTCTTGCATGTTACCGAAAATTCAATTCTAAAGAAGAAAGAAATCATGCCGAAACGCGTGAAACGTTTTGATAAGATCTTTTCCCTGTCAACACGAAAGTTTCAGCAGAATACAACGTATGTAGAAACAGTTCATTTCCAAAATATCACTTTGCTATATGCCAGCATCGCCAAAAGAAAAACTTTTCCTAGAATGCGTATGAATGTAGGTGTGGATGTGAGTATGGATGTGGTGGGCGCAGGTGTGGTGTGGATGTGAGTGCGGGCATGTGGAACGGGTGTGGTCGTGTGTCAAAGAACAGGTGCAGACCACACTCACACCTGAACCCGCACCTACATACCTTCTTGTTCTTGTTTGCAGAAATATAGCTGACACTAAACGCAATACGTTAGTGAAATTCGACGATTTTCAATGCACTGTTTATTTGCGATTGCATGCAATCAAACAAGTGAGTAAAATAGATCAAAAGTTTTCAAAGATTGATTCACTTATTTTTGTGTCCACATGAACGAGGATCGTAAGGATGAGGAGAAAGAGGTGAATTGGGATATGAAGGGCAACCTTGTTCATTACCATCAGGAGCAGGAGAATGATACGACTCAGGACCATGAAACACATCACCCACATAATTCACTACTTTACCAAATCCATGTTTGATCTTTCTCAAGGGATTAGATCTCTTATCAGAAATGACAATAACTTGTGGTGGTACCGACATCTGAGCAATCATTTGTTTGTTCCTTTCGCTGTCTTGTTTAATTTGTTCGGCTAATCTGATCCTGGCATCTCTGTCTGGATCGTGTAGTAGAAGTTCGATTTTTCCACTAGATCGATCAAATTTGTTCTGATGAGTCTTTAGCAACTCATTGAAGCTGTCATCTTGCTCCATGGATTGTGAATCTGGATGAACCATTTCCGTATATGATAGAGTTGGTCGTCCTTGTTGAAGTTTCTGAGCTGAATCTGGATGAAACGTTTCCGTAAATGATAGGGTTGGTCGTCCTTGTGGAAGTTCCTGATATGAATCTGGAGTTAAGTCTATTTTCTGTATTTTTGAATGTTCTTCCGCTTGCGTCAATAATTGATCCTGCCGTTGCTTACTTTGCGCTTTTAATTGAGAAATTTCATCTGTTATAAGTACAATATCCTGCTTTTTTGTCTGATGACTAGGTTCACATGTTGTCAATGCCTTATGTAGAATTTTATGGATAAACTTTTTACTTTCTTCCGATGTTGTTTTCTCTATAAAATATATGTGATTCACATCTACATGAGTGAGTTCATGAAGTAAGTATGCTGTTCGTGTTTCATAGTCATCTGGTCTATCAGACGGAATTCCATTGACAATGATCAACAACGATCGAGGAGAAAATTCGTAAGCGTTATTAATGCGAGTAAAAGCCACCAAGTCTTCATCGGGTATTCGTCCATTCTTGTGACCAAAAACAAAAATAACGATAGAGAAAGGACATTGTTCGAAAGCTTTCATGATCTCATGACGATTTTCATCTACCAACCTTTGATTTGCTTCAACCAAGCCAGGAATATTCGCCACTGAATAGATACGATTTTCAATAGCCACTGGCATGTCTTTCCATTCGGTATAACGAGTGACAGATTTCGCAGAAAATTTGCTTTCAAATGCGTTATCATCATCTAATAAGCGATTAGCTAAAAAACTTTTCCCTACACCACTGTTACCTAGGAGAATAAGGCCACAAGGTGTTGCTGATGCCATCAAAATTTCTTTTATCTAAAACAACAATACGAGCCAGTGAAGAAAGAAACATGTGTCACACTCATTATTATCACTTTCTTGTTTATTTTTAGCAATTCAAATATAATTGATCAACGATTAGAAAAAAAGTTTGAAATTGCATGCTGAACAATCTCAGCAAGATTTTCAAGACGAACACGATCGATCGATCCAGGTGTAACGACATCATCAAAGTGCGCGTCAATCTTTGATGCACAATTTCTCCATAGAAGATGAAGAAATTTGAACATTCGTGGGTATTGACCCAAATTAGGAAACATATCAAAGACACAGAATCCATTAGCATGATAAGTGTGACCCGATTCAAGTACAATATTGTAAACATTGGTCGACGGATCAGCTGCAATGCAGGTCAACTGTTTGACTAAGACAGATGATGCTCGATTCTGATCAGCAGATTGGAGTTCAACATTGGCGCACAACGGATTGACCAGACCTCGAAGAGATGGTTCTTCATTTTCACTAGCTTGTGGTTCCACAGCCACCATTGTTCTATATATTCATACAGATAGAATCTCAAGAGATGTAGAAGAATTAGTTGAAATCAAAAGGCAAAGACGAATCTGTAGAGAATTTAAAGCTGTCAAATAATGACTGTTTTCTTGGCACGATACAAATTCTTTCGTGGATTTCACAATTAGACATCTGTGGTTAGCACTACATTTAGTCGGTGCTCCTATAAACTACGACGTCTTCGTTTAAGTTCGGTCCATATTGCTTTGTAGAAGTCAATGAGTCAGTAAAAAACTGGGATGGTTCTTCCTAACACTCTGTTTCTACAAGTTAGCAGCTTTTGGTAAGCTTTCCACCTATGGAAAAACACATATTGGAAAAAATCGAATAACACAACTGTGCTCTGAAACTTTCCTGTATCTAAATCTAATGCAGAAATGACAACTTTGGAACTTTCAGCCAATGAAAGTACCAATTTCAAGGCATGCCGAATGGTCAACATGACCATTTTTCAGATCCTATTATAAACCATGATCGTTATTCGTCACCTGCTACCTTAAAAATAACGCATTCATTTGCGTTCAATATTTCATGGCTTTCAGTAAAAAGCGAGATTAATCGAGATGCAAAAAAGCGTAAACCGTTAAGCATCTTACAAAAAAGTTCTTGCGCTAGCCTTTTCACCGCTGGATGACAAAACCATTACGTCTGCCGAAGCAATAGCCTATCATGTTAAAGTATCATTACAATTGTGACGAAGAGGAAACTATCTTGAAAGTCTAACCGAATAATCCATATATTCGAGAATCACCATTCTAAATAGCGCTAACAACATTCATACTTTCGATACCACTCTCATCTTACCTGACTCTCACCTACTCATCCCTTCAATCTCATAAACTCAACTTCACACACTCATCCTAACGAACATACAATCCTGGCATCATCCTCAAGTTCCCACATCCTCTCATTCAAATCTTAAACCTAACTCCTTCACACTCACGCCATTAGCCACACATCCTTACTGTCACACACTTAGACGCTCACATTCACTCTAGATCGTCCTACTGCCACAGTCATACTTTAATCTTCCACCCTCATCGACCCATCCAGACACGCGTACTCTCCATGCAGATTCTCTGCCATCCACCGAGTCACCGTCAGTCTTTTCCGAAGCATCTACATTTTTGGATCACCACATATCTCGAGCTTTATTATCAAATTATGTGTGAAATAAAATGAATGCATTAGATTTATACTGAATGAGCATCTGTAATTCAGATCCAATATTAATGGTCACACGTCTCAGATTGTGAAATGGGAACGCTTACACACTTGCTTTTCGGCCTCAGAATATCAGTAACTTAGGAATGATAGTGTTCATTTCTAGACTGATTTGTCTGTCTCTAATAATGAATGAACTCACCCGTCTATTGTAAGAAAGACATGTTCTGAAGTAAAAAACGGCGGAAAATCGTTAATCCCATATAGATATCGGCCTTGCAGCTGTTCTACATCAAGAAACATGACCCGATATGGCTGATTATCAACACCCATAACTACATCACCAACGCAAATTTTTTCTATTGGTTTGTCGGCACCATGCGCCATCCGTATCAGAGTTCCAGCCACGAAACACTAAATATGATAAAAGAGAAAATTTGAATTATTTCTAAGTCAATCGTTTAGTATGCTTTGTCTTCATGTGGACTCAGCTCAAATGACAGTAGAACTTTTATAGCAAGTTGATCAGTAAAGAAACTTATTGGAAAGTGTGTTATTGTTTCGGTCACAGAGATTATTTTTCCCATTATAAATCAAGATTTTGTAGAGTTTTGTACTACACAGAGAATAATAGTGCGCGCTAATTTACCCCCTCCCCCCGCCCTTTCCTTTTTTTATCTTTTTTATCATTAGGCTGCTTTTGTTTTTTAACCTCCTACATATAGGAAGAAAGCCTCAAACATACTGTGTTTTATGATATATTTACTTTGAACAAGAAATATAGTTTGCAGTATGAAAAGTGTTACTTTTTATTTACAATTTATATTCACATCTATTATTCGTATCACAACAAAAAAAGAGTAAACATTTTTGAAATAACTTTTAATGGGAACCAGATAGAGGTCTGCGGTTTTTATCATTCAAAAGAAGACATAAATCTGCATCGAATCTCTTCTTTCACATGTTTATGACAAGTTCTATCAGATTGCTGAGTCGCGTTTTCTAAAAAACATGACTGTTTTCAAAAACAAAATAGTTTTTCATCAAAATATGCGAAAAAAGTCAAGTTTTTCATAAACGTAACTCAACAATCCAGCAAAGCTTGTCATGAACATGTAAAAGACGGTATTCGATACAGATTTATATCTTCTTTCGAATGGTGAAAACTGCAGATCTCTATCTTGTTTCTGTCAAAAGTTATTTCAAAAACACTTACTCTTCTTTTTGTTTTGATATGAATAATAAACGTGGATGAAAATATTAACAAAAAAAAATTAATCTTTTTTCTTTTTATACACTTTTCATATTCCAAATTGCTCTTGTTGTTCAACGTTAATATATCAAAAAATTAAGCGCATTTGAAACTTTCTCCCCATATATAAGATATTGAAAAACAAAAGAAGCCTAGTGATAAACACGATAAAAAAGAAGGTTGGAAAATTAATTGGTGCACATTGTATATAGAAATATCTTTAAACATCACACTACTGGAATGTCAACTCAACGGTTTCTGCATAATAGAAAACCAGCGAGTAACTAAAATTCAAGCACGTTTCATTTCACAGAATATAAACTTACACTGCTTGAAGACTCATATCTGACTTCTGGTGGCCGATTTTGAAGTTCTTCTATCTTTGCTCTTAGCTCATCTTGTGCTTCCTTTGATGCATTCAAAGCGCTTTCAATTGCTGAAGTATCTACGCCACGTCTGCTCTCTAATTCCTCTGTCAGTCGTTCATGTCGGGCTTGCATTGATTCCATCTGTTGTTGCATAGCAGACAATTGGTTTGCGTGTGCTGATTGCATCTGCTGGATCTGTGCTTCCTGAGCCTCACGTGTTTCTCTGGCATCTTCAGCCTGTCGTTCAATAATACGTCGAAAATGATCGGATTCGACCTTTTGCTGGACAACAAAATCATCATATCGCTTTTGATGTTGCTGAATTTCATTCTGGAAGAAGATCTTATTTTGTTCGAATTGTTCGGTCATCTTCTCGATCTGTTGCTTCAAGAAGGTAACTTCATCAACATTCAAACGAATGTCAGCTGTTTTCTTGTGTTCAGTTGGTGTTAGCTCGACGATTGCTCGTAGCAATTGATTTTTTAAACCTCTCCGCTCATCTGAGTTTTCATTGTTTATTTTGTTCAGAAAGCAAACTCGTTCAGGTGCAACTGGAACTTGAATGATATCTTGTAACATGAGCATCACTTCACCTTCATAAGTCTTTGGTCGATCTGCTGGAAGACTATTGACCACTAGCAAGAGTGATTTGATATTCAGAGGATATGCTTTATTGATTGCATTGAATGAAACAGCATCTTCATCACGTATACGACCATTCTGGTGGCCAAATACATAAATAACAAGTGAGTTGGGTCGTTTACTAAAGGCATGATCAATTTCGCGTTTATTAAGGTCAACACGTGTCTGAAAAAAAACGACATTAAAAGAATATGTTAGCTTAAGCTCGTTGTCTGGCTTTTACTTGGTCAGCTTCAATTAAACCAGGAATATTAAAGATAGCGTAACTGCAATTATCAAACTTTAGCTCTTCAAATTCAGTTCGATGTGTCACCGATCGAGCAGAAAATTCGTGTTTAAATGCATCTTTGCCTAGTAAAACATTGGCCAAGAAACTTTTCCCCACGCCACTGTTACCAAGAATGATCAAACCATGCTCCTTCGATGTGTTACTGTACATTGTTAATCTTAAATAAAAAACAATCAATGTGGTTCAATCGAATCGTTATCGCTCTTTGCTTCTCTGTTGTATGTTGTGCGTCGATTCTTCACTTAGATTTACTGGTACAATGAAAAGAGCAAAAAACGAATCAAGCTGGTGAATTGAGATACACCAAAAGAAAGAAATAGGTAACAGCCCGATTATTAAAAACATTCTACCAATTATCATCTTATGCAAGCTAAGGAAAAAAAACAATTTTTTCTCCACCACTATTATGGTTATTTTTTCTGCATCATTGCATCCGCCTTTGAATGATCTACTATGTGTTTTTAAAACGAAGAGTGCAGTAATCAATTTACAGTACTCCTCTTCAACTAGCTAAAGATGAGTGTAGGGGTGGTGATGGTCGTCGATGTTTCGATGTGTGTGTAATGCTATTCTTGTCATTACCCATACCCACAGCCAATACTTCTTTCGGATAAAGCGCTAAACATATCCACAGACTGAGGGGCTTATTGGAGTAACAGAAACAGTTATATAGGATTTGCTACTGCTTTAATGAATGCCAACTTCGTTGCCAGAGTAGAGTTTGTTAAGTAGTAATATCAACTGTTTTTCTTTTCGTTCTGTTGATCATATATATGTGTCATTTCTTTTGTCATATACATATGTCGCTTTCTCTTTCTGTTCTATAGCTAGGTATTTTCTTATATTCACATTTGTTTCGTATTTTCTAATGTTAGTGCTCACTGGGATTTTACTTATATCTTATGTGGATATTTTCAATATGTCGTGTTATTCATCATCATATATATAGTTGTGATTCTCTGGTAATAAATAAGAAAGATATTGAGTGATAATGTAAAATCATCTTTTTTCAATAACATATTGGGCATAAGAAAATATCAAACCTAAGAAGTTGCTTAAAAGTAAAACTAATGTACTCTTCTAGATGCTTTATAGTACTTTCTCCCGCAACAGTTACCACACATACTAAAAGCAAACATGGACTTACTTGAATATGACAGCGATCAACTTATGCAGATGCTTGCAGTTTTTTTGCTGATGTCACTTGCTTCTTAACTAATTAGATAAAATGAATGTGTATAGTGAACTTAATAATAATGATTTATTGTTCTATATTCGCAAGAAATCTGAAATAGAATAGCAATCTGTACAGTTGTATGTAAAACACTTCATATAGACAAGAGTGCCAAAAAACGACAGAAGCAAAAACTCAGATGATATCAAAATCTACCTTTGAAATTATGAACAACTGCTATCGAGATTAGAATTCTTTGGATACATGATAGTCAACAAAATCTCTCAATTCAACTTTCATCTGACGAGCAGTTCAATATCAAACCGCTCAGATATAGCCTCAACTTTGGCGGCTCTGTGGGAACTAATTCTATTGAATACCCATACTTGTTGTATGTGCAACTTAGCGAAAATCATTCGAAAAGACGCTACAACTCGTTCTCACCGTCAATGGTGTGGGTGTAGATGTTGGTGTGGATGGGTGGAGTGTTGGAGTACGTATGAGTGTAGCTGTGGCTGTGACTGTGGGTGCCGGGGTTATGTCGAGTCATTTTTTTTTACGCACAGTCACATCAACAGCCACAGTCATCGTCACAGCGACATCTTACGCGTATAGTCATGAAAAGCGTGACGAAAGCCTTGTTTACTGAACACGTACTCTTCATATCGCACTTGGTGATTATTTTTCAAAATATCGGACATTGTCCAGAGAAATTAATTTATTGGCAGTCCATATTAAGGCATGCAGAACTACGATGGTTGTAGGCACTTTTGAGTTTTTATTTATAAATATAAAGTTCTTGTATACTCTTACAAAGTAGCAGTTTTATATCTACTAAACAATAAAGTCCTACTTTCTAGTGGCAAAAACGAATCATATGTAGGGCTTTTTATTGAGTTTCTTCAGTCTTATTTCATTGTTGTGGACTTTTAGTCATGTAGACCTGTTTCTCTTGCTTTAGAAACCTTTGTTGAATATTTTTAAGAAATTAGATGTATTCATCTCAAGTATAGTGTCCCTGAAAATAATATTGTTTTGAGAAAATGTACCTATCATACTGTTTTCCTCAGAGGTTTCTAAAAAATACTTATAACCAAAGAGGAATATACGCGGATGACTAAAAGCCCACAATAATGAAACAAAGTTGAGAAAATTCAAGAAAAATCCTTCATATTGCCTTTTGAAATTGGCAAAAGAACTCTTTTGTGTATTGAAACTGAAAGTTCTACTTTCTAAGAATATTTGAGAAATGTATATTTATGAATAAAAACTTGGAAACGTCATCAACTGTTAGTAGAGAAACCAGTTCATTCAATTGAGTGATCATTAAGCTACACAATTTTCTATTTGATCAATAATTCTCCGGTCAGCCTCTATTTTAGAGAATATTATATTTCAATGAGCAGATCAGTTAGCCGACAGTTTTAACGATTGTTAGAACAATAATAACTAGGTTGACAAGAAATTTTACGAAATTAAAAAATAAACATGATTTTCAATTCAAGTAATCATGCTTGTGATGATATTAGAATTTCATTTAATTTCCTTCTTAATTAATAGTTGTACAGTTCTGAGAATGGGCTGTAAAAATCGGAACAAGTTTTTGCCTATTAATTCTGTCTTAATATTTTATTAGCAATTTCGATTATTCTTTGTTTTTCATTGATCTGATAGTAGCAAGAATTTGGAATATCATAGGCTCGTTTATTCTCTAACGTTATAGCTTAGAAGTGTGTGGATGTAGCAACACATGAAGTGATGACGACCATCCATATCCATCTAAACCCTGTCACTTGTAGAAAATCAATAGTAGTTTTCAGCAGTTGAGATAATTACTATTATACCTGTTTATCATAGCCCATGTGTTCGATATTTCTGAAGAAAATCTATTTCACCGATCCAAACGTCAGGTGACATGAATATTTTCAATTAACAAGAAACAAAGGCAATGTTTACACAAAGACAAAAATCATTGAGTTGCTCTGGTCTCTTAACAATGGAATTTTCAATGCGGATAAGAATTAAAAGCAACTTTGGCTATTAAGGACGGGGGCGCATAAGAACAGGAGTCGGCCCACGAACAGATTCTCATAAGAAGTTAATTTTCTGATGCAGAATTTTACGGCGAATCTTCTGATACCAAATTCAATATATTTTCGAAACAATTTGATGGCCTCCGGCCTATACCAATTATATCCTATTTTTATCCAGTGCAGAGGGATTACGTTTGTCAAAACATGATTTGATAAAGCTTCAAATAGGCTCATCTGAAAGAGCGTAAAATTCTGCACAAAACCGTATACTAACCAACTAAAAATAATCAACACCAGTAGAAATTTCTTAGCAAATACTATGTTTTCACCCACATTTTTGGGACGCCGTCGACTTTCATGCAGCTCAGTCACTTACGAATTCATTCTACGATGGAGTTTCTTCTTCATGGTCAGATGCAGTTTTCGACGGGCTACACGATGGTATGCTTTTTATCTTGAAATTTCATTGGTCAAAAAATTTCATACGGACAATACCGCTGGAAAGAGTGATTTTTTCATATGTATCGTTCCTGTTGGGCTCTAGAGTGCTTAAGAAATATCTTCACGATAGACTTTCGTCTGCATGGATAGATGCAGTTTTCGACGGGCTTCACGATGGTGTGCTTTTCATGTCGAAATTTCATTGGTCAAAAAATTTCACAAGGACAACATTTCCTAAAACAGTGATTATTTCAAGTCCATGATATCTTTACGCTTCCAAAGTGCTTAAGAAATGGCTTTATGATGAACTTTCATGTTCAGGGTTAGATGTAGTTTTTCACGGGCTACAATTTGGTATAGTTTTCATATCGAGATTTCGTTGGCGAAAATTTTTCTAGGGTCAATATCGCCCCTACTTGCGGTTTTTTCGATTTCAGGCTTGAAAGCCACTTCTAAAGTGCTCCCCAAACCATTTTACGACCGACTTTTCGGTTAGGCACTCGATGCAGGTTTTTACGGGCTACCATTTAGAACAGTTTTCCTACCGAAATTTCATTGGCCAAAGTTTTCTAAAGGGAATACCGCGTAAAATGCCGTTTTTTTCTATTTCGAGCTTCTAGCCAGCGTCCAAAGTGGCCCAGAAGCCACTTTTGATGGTCTTTTCAGCTAGGTGTTCGATGCGCTTACAGGAGGGTTACACCCAGTGCAGGTCTGCCCACAGTTTATTGGCGAGAGCATGGCACGAGCAAATACTGCCTATGATTCTGATGATACGTGCTGTGAGGATGGAAGATAACGGTACAACAAAAGCGAGACCTTCCAATTTTGCGTAGAAAAATTTGGGCTTTCTTTCCCCTTGAATTGGTACTTCGATTTGAGTTTGGGTATAGTTTTAAATTACCCAAATGTGAAGACATGGTGTAAGATAAATATCAGAAGCGAGAAAACAATGCGAAGACTTCCAAATTGGATTTGAAACTGTTTGGATTTGGATGCGGTATTTAAGATTTGGTTGTAGATCTGGGCTTTTGATTTGACTGTTACATTCGGATTGTGTTTCGTTGTAACATAAGTCCAGAGTTGGGGTCATTTCAGTCTAAGATCCCAATCCAAACCCAACTCCAAAGTCAAGTCAAAATTTCCAACAACAGATGAATCCTAAGTGCTAACTCCAAACGATGCTCACAATCCGGAGTCCCCAATCAAGACGAAATCCAAGAGCAAAACCAAACCTCAAAGATTTTTCGCAAATCCAAAACCTATTTGGGATCGATTCCACCCTTTCGGGATAGAGATACTGCATTCATATTATCAAATTGCACGTAAATCATGTCGTTCTTTGAACTCTGGATATGTGATTCAGACTTGCGCAGGCTTATGTGCTATACCATGGACTACCAAATTTGCAAGAGTTACAACCCTTGACCAAGTTCTTATCAATTCCACTTCAACCAATCAACCAACTTCGAAGGATTTTCACAAAATCCTATAATTAATCTTTA